ACTTTCTCCAAAATCGACCATATACTGGGGCACAAAACAAGCCTCAACAAATACAAAAAGACTGAAATATTTCCATGCATTCTATCAGACCACAATGCAATAAAGCTTAAAATCAACACAGAAGAAACTCTAGTAACTACATGAACACATGGAGATTAAACAACACACTCCTGAATGATGAATGGGTTGAAGGAGAAATTAAGAAAGAAGTAAAAGTATTCCTGGAACTAAATGAAAGGGACAACACAACAGAACAAAACCTCTGGGATGTGTTGAAAGCAGTCCTTAGAGGGAAGTTTATGCTCTACGCGCCTACATTAAAAAAAAATTGGAAAGAACACAAATAAATGACTTAACATTGCAACTTAAGACACTTGAAAAGCAATAACAAATGAAACCCAAACCCAGCAGACAAGAAGAAATAAAAAAAATCAGAGCAGAAATTAATGAAATAGAAACAAAGATAACAATACAAAGAATCATTGAATCCAAGAGCTGGTTCTTTGAAAAGATAAACAAGATTGACAGACCACTAGCCCAGTTAACCAAAAGAAAGAAAGAGTACCTCCAAATCAAGAAAATCAGAGGTGAAAGGGGAAACATCACAACAGATACTATAAAGATCCAGAACATTATAAGGGAATACTTTAAAAACCTATAGCTAATAAATTTGAAAACATAAAAGAAATGGCTGGGTATCTATTGAAAAGCAGGGGAACCACCAAAACGAAACCAAGAGATCAACAGCTTAAACAGAACTATAAGACATAAAGAAATTGAAACAGTAATACAAAACCTCCTGACTAAAAACGCCCAGGATCAGAAGGATTTACAGCAGAATTCTACCAGACATTTAAAGAAGATCTACATCCAGTACTACTTAATTTATTTAAAAAGATAGAAATGGAGGAAGAACTTCCAAATTCCTTCTATGAAACCAGCATCCCTCTAATACCAAAGTACCAAAGACAGGTAAAGATATAAACCACGAAAGAAAACTATAGACCCATATCCTTAATGAACATTAGATGCAAAAATTCTCAACAAACCGCATACAGACACACATAAGAGAGATCAC